GAGATTTTTAATAATTACACCTATGTTATTATTTTCCGGATTCTAGGGTAATTTCCTTATGGAATTACCACATTCACATGATTTTCAGAAAACTTGACCTCTGACCTTGACCTTGAGGTCGAGGTCGCTGAGATTCCTGCCCGTCACATGACATGTGCACCTAACCGTGGCAAAAGGTTAGTCTACAGCGCTGATTTTGTTTGTAGGGGCGCTTGCTGTACAGTGGACAGGAAATACTGAAATCCACAGATCAAAGTGACGCCTTTTGATTTTATCTTTGTGTTTTTGCTTTTTAAGGCCTTAAAAAAGCACCTTAGTTAACGTTTAAACTAAGCAAAACTGTTATTTTATGTTTGAGTAAGTTAAACCTCACTTTAAAATTATGGTTAAAAATACTTATCTCAGTCAGTCAGACTTTATGATTTTTCGTTGGGTTGAATGCCAATTTATTTTGCTTTTTTGTGTAAAACACCTTTTTATGCATTCACAAGTGGCGCTCAAGCTAAACCATTGTTCGCCATAATTACCAATAAACTCATTTCTGTGTTAACGTTGCGTTATCATATTGAGGCGATGATCCTGAGAGGCAGCCTGCCTAAGTTGAATCACAGCCAGTGTTCCAGCAGCATTGAAACTTAGTACCTCTTTAGAGGGTGAAAAGTAAACTTTTCTGCTGGACCAAGCTGAGATGACCACCGGAGACCGAAAACTATCTCGCTCCTTTCAACCAGCACCACAAAGGGATCGAGTGGCCTCGCTTGGATGTTGGAGCTAAGTGGCCGCTCGGTCCAAGTGCTCCGCGGTTGAACAGTGGGTTTGAAGCCGAGCCTCTTATCCTGCATGCGGTCACAGTCTGAAATTCTCATTCATCAGATTGTTGCAGCAGAACTTAGAGAGAGAGAGAGAGAACGAGCAGCGGCGGGACACTTGTGTCAGCGATAATAGCGGCGTAGGGTTACATCTTTACCACAAATTGATTCGACTTAGGGGGACACAGACCCTCGTCTGAACTTTTGCTTTTTCTGTGAACTCGTGCACATTCGTGCCCTCATCATTCAACACCAAGCAATCCACACTGACATTTGTTTTGGACTAAATGTACTTTGAGTTTAGCATATGTTTGGTTCAGGACACTTCTGTGAGGGTTCGCCACACCGAGGCCCCCGGGGAGCCGTGAACCTCGGCCTCCTCCGTGTCGGCATTCTTCTCAAGTCAAAGGTTGCCGGTTTGATGCCACAGCGATAACCCCGTGTGTTTAAATCTGCAGCTGACAAGGTCCATTGTTTTTTAGTGGTAACAGATGTGCTGGATGGGTGATAAGGGGAAACCCTAATATCCAGGTGTCGGTGTGACGGTCAGCCTTAAAATTCACTCATTTCACACAGTTCCCTTTTGTATTGAGAAGTGAGGTTTATGCTGTCATTAAGGTGTGTGTGTGTGTGTGTGTCTGTGTGGTCATGTGTTTTGGATACAGGACGGAAACCAAAATCTTTGCGGCCACTTTTAGTATTTGTGGTCTGTCACTGAGTGAAAGGAGGCCGGCTGTGCCTTTAAATTCAATTGATGTTTTGCAAAATTAGATTCCTTTTTTTTCCTTCTAATTTTACCTCCCACGTGATTACAAAAACACACAATGTACTCTTTGAAGCAATATATCCTTCCCCAAAGGCCATCAGTTGTTATTTATACTCAAAATGAAACAAATTCATGTTAATCACTGAGCTGGCAGCAGATTACGATCAGTTGGAAGACTTGACTTGGTTACGAAATTATTTTTAGATGAAGATGTCAATCCAGCCGTGTTTCCAGCTTAAT